CTCAAGGACCCAAGTTCAACGCTCCAGAGCACATGGTTAAAAAAAAAAAAAAAGCACCAAGCATGGTGGCATATACTTGTAGTCCCACTTAGGGAGGTGGAGACAATCGGATCCCTAGGGCTCTCCGGCCAGGCAGTCTTGCCTAACTGATTATCTTCACGTCAATGAGAGACTCTCAAAAAGCTGGCTACCACCAAAGAAACATCTGAGGTTGTCCTCTGGCCGTCACTCACACAAGCACATGCACACACGTATCCACACAGAAAAGTATGAAGACATATGTTAAAAGTAGGAGGACCACAACCAGAAGCTGGGGTCTTGTGAAGAGGTCCCTTTTAGCTTGAACAGCCACTGTTCCACAGAGCGTATGAAGCAAGCGGGCTTCTTTAAAAAATGACGATGGTTCAGTTCACACATCTGTTGAATGCCATTAGGTTGCACACCCTTGCTGGTACAAATACAACTAAAACAAGGGGCAGGTAACTACACACACACACACACACACACACACACACACACACACACACGTACACTGCATGTGTGTCCCCAAGGACTGTAAACAGGGATTACCAGGAGTGGCTTTTGGAACAGGAGATAGGAGATAACCAGATCAGGGTTTGAAAAAAAGGTGAAATTATCCAGACAGAGAGAATGGAAGAGGAGAACTGAAGGCAAAGGTACAGTAAGACCAGGGTAGGAGGACTGTGCATGTCCTGGTATGTGGACCCATGCAGCCCAGTTTGTGGAAGAAACACTGTTCTAGAAGAGGATGTGGCAGGGAGGCAGGAAGGCTAGCAGAGAGCACAGATGTGGTCAGGTAACCAACTGGCTACCAGCCTAGCGAGTTCCTGGAATGTTATGGGAAGTTCCCTGAGCGCCACGGCATGGAAAAAGGTTCTGGCTTGGACAAGTGAAAGGTCTGCATGACCGTGGGAACTGTATGTCTCTGGGACTGTGTGTCCATACTTAGTCTCTTCAGTATGGCCTGAGGTATAAGTTGACCAAACCCTATGTCCTCCTGGAATGTGTGTGTGTGTATCCATGTCTGTGTGTGTGTGTGTGTATCTGTGTCTGTATGTGTACATGTGGAGGGGTTACATAGAACTGGCGAAGGGGTGATATATGTGGAAACAGTAGAAGCTGCAGTGTGGATACAGGAAAGGTGATATCAGAATTCTGTAGGAGCCACAGTGAAAGCATTCTGAGATGCTCAGGGGTAATGCTGAAAAACTTACCACTCACCGAGTGCTCACCTTTCAACCTGAGGAATCTCCCCACACAACACCACCATTCCAGAGTGCTGTTCAACTCCATCTCAAGAGGGAGGGACCAGATTGTGTCAGGAGGGATGCAGGCAGTTGAAGGGAGGCTGCAGTGATCTGAGCCAGTAAGAACGCGGAAGGCAGACAGGATGCAAGGCTTGATGCAGGAAACTTGCAATAAGCCCCCGAGACTTCCAGGCTGCCAATGGCTGTCCCAGCCCAGTTACTCATGCCAAAGCCACAAAGCTGATGTCAGTGTGGGGGTGGGGAGGGCACAGTTCCATGGGGACCAGAAAGCAGCTCTCCATCACAGGCAGGTGCTAGGACCTTAGCACCTGCTGATGGGTTCCACATTCAATGGAAGCCTCATGGTGTTCCACATCTTCTGCCTTTAAGAAGCAGTACATCCAAGGTACCTCCAGATTTCCAAGTATTAGTTCATTTTCTGTATATTTCATTCAGGCCAATAAAGGTTTGCCAGGCGAAAGTAGTGCACTGGCCACCATTTTGTCATTTGTACACACTAAAGCAAAATAGAGGCAAGCAAATAGATTGGAATCTCATGAGATCTCAAAGCACAGACAAGTACCAAGTCTGTCTCTCGTCAGAGCACAATATGCAGAAACTAGGAATTACCTATATACCTTGGGGGATTGCACAGTCATTTATAAAAAGAGATACTAATGAGATACTAATGGCTAATGAGGTACATATGGGGTGCACATAAAAACTAAAGTCAGGGGCTGAGGAGCTAGCTTAGACCAGCACTTTTCAACCCATGGGTTGTGACCCCTTGGAGGGTCAAACAACCCTTTGACAGGGGCCACATATCAGATATCCTGCATATCTGATAGTTTCATTACGATTCATAACAGTAGCACAGCTGCAGTTATGAAGTAGCAATGGAAATAATTTTATGGTTGGGGGGATTACCACAACACGAAGAACTGTACTAAAGGGCCGAAGGTTGAGGAAGGTCGAGAAGCGCTGGCTTTGAAGATAAAGTGCTTGCCACCCAAACACAGGTATGGGGATGTGAGTTCAATGCCCAGACCAACACACACACAAAACAAGAGCATGATGGTGTGTTATTTGTAATCGCAGAGCTGAAGAGGGAGAGATAAGAGGATCCTTGAGGCTTACTGGTCAGCCAGCCTAGTCTGCTTTGTGGAGCTCCAAGCCAGTGAGAAAGCTTATCTCAAACAAAACAAAACAAAACAAAACAAACAACAAAAGCAAGATGGCTAGTATCTGAGGAATGACACTGGAGGCTGTTCCCAGGCCTCCACACACATGCAAACACCTACATGGATGCCTGCATGCCACAACAAACGCATAAAGTTGGTCCCAGGCCTCCAGGCTGGTAAGTAGCTCAAATACAGGAGAATGCTTTTAGCTCAGATGGTATAGCAGTGATAAGTGAAACTGGGAGACTGGTTCAGTCAAAGATTCTACAGGTCACATGACCGGGGAGAGGCAGAGTATTGGGAAACTCCAGAAGGTAGATGACAGAAAGAAAGCCAGAAGGGAAGAAAGCTAGCTACAGAAGGGCACGAAAGAAAATGCCTGGGGTCAAATGCCACAGAGGTTAGCTGAGCAGCCAGGAGATGCCAGAGGCCAGCTGAGCACCTAGGAGATGCCAGAGGTCAGCTGAGCACCCAGGAGACACCTCATACAGGAACCCAGAGGCTTTTCTGTTCTGGAGAGACTTGCAGGAACTGAAATGGAAAAGTGGAGAAGTGGCAACTAATTTTAGAAGAATGGAGCGATCTGGTGATCACCAAGGGTAAGGTGAAAATGCCAAACAAGGGAAGTTAGAGTAATGCAAACTTACTGCTGAGGTAGATAGGGTTGCTAATGAGAGAATGAATAGGCAACAAGAGCAAGGAGATTCCCCGAGCAGAGGGAGGCTTGGAATTCATGATACAGCTGGGGACATTAGTCACTGACACAAGGAGCCTTCTCTCACATCTTCTACAAATTCCCAGTTCATCTTGATTACTTTCTCTGCCTTTCTACACCACAGTATTTACCATAGATATGCTTTTCTGCCTGTCTCTCTCCCCACCCCCTCCACCACCATAAGAATGATAATCTTAGGAACACAGGAATCTGTTATATTTAGCAAAGGTGAAAAGTGTCCCAGGGAAATTTAAGGCGCACACAGGCCTGGGGACACTGAGCAGATAAGTGGGTAAATATGGAAATGCTTATAGGTTGGCCCATGGAACACATCTGGTGGCCTTTATTTCCTCTGAAGCGTGGGTCATTAGGTCACCTGTAGAACCTGAGGCATGGAAGGCACAGGGAAAAACCCTTCCTGTTGAAGACCACAATGGGAGAGGCAGTTTGCAACCTGGGGCAGGGGGAGGAGCCTAGGGTTTAAAGATAATGGATAGTGTGTTTCAGAGAGGGTGTTTCTATGTAGCCTTGGCTGATCTGCAGCTCAGGAAGCAGATCAAGGTTACAGTGATCCCCCTGCTCCAGCTTCCCACACGCTGGGATTTTGAGCATATATACCACTAAGCCCAGCAGACGCCAGAGTTTTTGACAGAGTTTAGAGGCGGAGCACCGCCAGGAGAAGGCAAGTCTCATGTTTAGAGGCCTGAGTAGATGGAGTGGGTGGAAACCACTGGACCCCAGATGGCCACGGAAGTGAGAGCCTGAAGCACCGCAGCCACAGGAGGGAAAAGAGGCCAAAGACCCAGACCATGCGAGAGAACTGGCTGGATGAGGGCAGCAATATGGAGGGCGGCCAGGAGCCTGGGCAGGTCACCAACTCACTTCCAACTCTTCCATCTTAACCCATCTCTGACTACTGTCAAATCACCTATGTGTGAAGCTGAAAATCAACATCCTTTGGAGATCCAGCAATTTCCGTCTTTTCAAAATTGTGCTAAGATGTCAAGTTTATGGGAGGGAATTTTTTTTTTCTGCATAGATTCTTTTAAAGAAAAAAAAAAAATGATGACATCCTCTCCTGACCTTCAGGAGTCACCCTTCACTGAACAAAAATTTCAAACCCTATTTTGAAAAACAGCCAAAACTCCACAGATGATGGTCACATAGCTCGAGAATTTTTTGCTTAAATGTTGCCAACAGCGTATACTTACTGTTTTAAAGCCACAGAAAGTGTTGAAAGCACCTTCAATTTTTAAGTGTGCTTTAGATACACAAATCGGCAATGCTGACATTTCTCCCAGCTATCTGGATTCCCATTCCGATACAAGGTCTCCAAAGTACAAAATTATCAGATTAATTGTACTAGAACGGTTCAGAGAAATAAACTGCTTTTCCCAGCTTGAAAGAGAAAGTCAAACCTCCAAACACCTTTTTATATTCATGCTAAATATAAGAACGTTCTCTGCAAAGTAGTCAAAGCAAGATCCAGCCGCGTTTGGAGATTTCTCAAGAGAGACACGCGGAGACTCTGTTTTGTTCATTAAAACACTAAAAATCCTCAACAGCACCTTCTCTAATACCTGAAGGTGGAGTGCTGTCTTATGTAATAGCAGCTTTCCCTCTCTGCTTATCTTGGGGGCAAATTAAATACCTAATGCCGCCCAGGATTTCTGAGTACTTTCACCTTACCTGGAGTCACTCAGCGGCCTCGCAATTCCCTAGTCTACAGATGATAAAAATAAATAATAAACAGCATAGGGCTGCTACCGCATACGAAGGATATGCCTGTTGCAAAGGCCAGTGTGAACTGAAACCCTCCCCCAAATCGCTGCTCACCTCCACACTGCTCGGGCAAAGGTAACAAGTGAGAGCAGGTCTCCTGCTCCCTGTCCCGGGCGCGCACTAGCAAAGTAAGGGGTCGGGGACACCCGTAAGTGCCCAGACGCCTCAGGTTCAGGGTCACGGTTGGCAGCCCTGCCGGACCCACCGCAGCTACGCCAAGCTCCGGGAGCGTTCCTCCAGCTTCGGGCACACCTGGACGCCCGAGCCCTCCGGGATGGGGACGCGGGAGCCAGGCGCGCTCGCAGCGTTGGCCCGGGCGGTCGGAGAAAGTTCCCGCCCTGGCGCAGCCCGGGGGACAGTCCCCGGCTCCCCTCCCGGCGGCGGGGACCGTGCAGCCGGTACTCACCCGCCCTCGCTTTGATCCCCAGGTGGCGGCCAGAGCCGGGAGTGAGGTCCGCTCGGCGGTAGGGGGACAGGCGGCGGGGACGCGTGCAGCCCGCGCTCCCGAGCAACCACAGCACTAGCCGGCCGGGTGCCGCGGGGGCTTTATCGCCGCCGCCACCGCCGCCGCCGCCGCCGCCCCCGCCCCTTCCTGCCTCCCCCGCCCCCGGCCCGCCCCGCCCCGCCTTCCCGCCGCCGCCTTTGTGTGCGCCGGCCGCAAGGTCCCTGCACCGCAGGGAGCTCCGGGACGCCCCCCACCCCCCGCCCGACGCGCGGTCGCCCTCTCGCGGGGGGGTCCGGGTCCCCTGAAAGCGCCGGCCAGACGCGCCGGGCCCGAGGTGCGGCGCCAACCCCGGTCGAGCTGCACGTGGGTCGTCCGGATGGGCGTGTGGGGAGTGGAAAGGAGTGGGCTACAGCGAATCCAGGGGTGTGTCCCCGGGACGCAGGACGCGTCATCTTGGCTGCCCTCGACCTGGGGGGGGGGGGGGGGGGGGGGGGGGGGGGGCGGGGCCGACAGTGAGCAGTCCTGCAGATGATGGGGATGAGGGAGCCAGGGCGCGGGGGTCTACAACAGGTCCTCACTCTCCAGGTGCCCCAGAGCCAACTTATCCCTGCTTAGGGGAGGAGCCTGCGTAGGACTCCTAGGGACAGGACAAGCAAGGGCATCATCCAGAAAACTGGCCCCTTGCTTGTGGTGACAGCATGAGGTACCTTTACAGCCCTGGGAATCCGGGTCTTCTGAACCTAGTCCTTCAGCTCCTGAGACCTCATCAGTAGGAGACTGCTGCAGCCCGGAGATCAGCAACACATGGCCGTTCTGCCCCACGGCCTGTCCCCTGGGTCTCCCTTTCTGCCTTCTTCGGTCTCTCTCTGTTCAAGTTAGGTGTGTAGGGACTTTCATGGTAATGTCTGTTGCCTTTGGTTCAATGCCTCCCCAGCAGGCCCCACGTTTGGCCCCTGTGGAGAAAAAAGGTGGCACATCTTCCTGGGAGCCTGAAATAACCTGTGTCCACCGTTAAGGCAACTCAGAAGAAGATCCCAGTGCGGCCGCATTGACACACCTATGTCCCTGACAGACTCCTCTCTCTCTCTTTACCTCTCTGTCTCTCTCGCTGCAGTGTGTGTGTGTGTGTGTGTGTGTGTGTGTGTGCGCGCATGTGTGTGTGTTGTGTTGTGTTGTGTTTCACAGTTTCTCATCTAGGAACAAATGCAATGGAAGGTTTGTTCCCTGGAATAAGGAAATGCAATCTACAAAAAAGACACCCACCCCACCCTCACCCCCCCCCTCCCGCATTGCTCTACAGTCATGACAGTTTACAAATCCCATTCATTTTTCTTGCTCCCTCGGTCCCAAATGCCCCTGAGAGACTGCCCTCTCATTCACCAGGCCACAAGTCAAATCTTACCTCCTCTGGGAACCCTTCTTTGACTATTGGGTTAAAGTCACTTCCTTCCCCGTTAGTTTCCTCATAAACCTCATTATTTGATTTTTTTCCCTTGTCTATTTGGTTCCTGGCTCAGGGCATCCCCTGTGTCCAGACTGCTGTTCCACACTCGGCAGTTGCTCAGAAATGTGTGTGGACAAGGTAAACAGATGCAAGGAGACTCTCCGAAGTGGCAATGCCAGGGTGGTAGCTTGGTTGCACTGGGAGGGTGGACTGTGGATACGGAGAATTCACATGGAGGAGCTGAGGGAGGTGAGAGAAGAAAGCCCAGTAGCACCCCAACCCCGGCGTGTGTGTGTGTGTGTGTGTGTGTGTGTGTGTGTGTGTGCGCGTGCTCGCGCATGTGCGCGCATGTGTGTGTGTGTGTGTGTGTGTGTGTGTGTGATTTGAAAATCTGAGAGCTACTTTCCAGACGAGGGCATTAGGGGCTGAGGGTGTGGCTAGGTGGTGGAGTACTTGCCTCCTGCGACCCTTCAGTGCAGTCCCTCAGGCTGTGGTGACCTCCCCTCCAATCATAAAATTATTTTCCTCACCACGTCACAGCTGTAGTTTTGCTACTGTTGTCAACTGTACTGTAAATACAAGTGTTTTCCGACGGTCTTACGTGACCCCTGTGAAAACGTCTTTTGACCCCCAAAGTGATTGCAACCCCCAGGATGAGACCAACTGTGCTAGAGAGACAAGCTAGAAGTGTGAGTGAAGGGGGTGGGGATAAGAAGGGGGGTTCTCTGCATCCATGTCTGCCTCTCTGTCTTCACACTGACATTGCTGATTGAGATAGTTTTAGGTGTACACTTCGTCCAGTTTCGTTTTTGTCCAGTGATGGTTTTTTGCAAAGCGATTTCATAATATCGCTCTCGTGATGTTAACATGGATACAGTGGTTCGTATCTCAAAACACGATTTGCAGCTCTAAATTTTCAGGGAAGTTCCCCAAAGTGAGCTGTTTTGGGAGAAATGCACAAACCTTGAAGGATTTGGGTGTCTTGTAATGCAGCTGACGCGGTTTCTGAAGGGGAAACCCTCTTCTTTTCCCAGTGAGCATAAACAGGGTCTGGCCGTTCTCACCCTGTGGGCTGTGAACCCTTTGGGGGTAAACGACCCTTTCACAGGAGTTGCATATCAGATAGCCTGCATATCAGGTAATTACATTCCGATTCATAACAGTAGAAAAATTACAGTTATGGAGCAGCAACGAAAATAATTTTATGGTCAGGGGTCACCACAACATGAGGAACTGTATTATAGGGTCATTGCGTTAGGAAGGTTGAGGACCACTGCTCTGGATGGACAAATTATTCAGGAGTCTTTAGGATTTGCCTCTTTTGTTTACATTTTCACTTCCCTATTCTCCCCAGTAGTGTCAAAGGAACATTTTGAGCAATACTGTACTTGACTTGTCAGTTCTGAAATCAGACATGAGGCAGTGTTAACTAATATACTAAAATAAACCCAGGCACGAATGCTCCTTTCTCTCTCCTTGGCCATTGGACGGGACGGATTGTGAACTTCCCCCAGAGGAAAGGATTCCAAACAAAGCTTCATTCTGCTAGCGGGATCTGCTAGGAATACCAACGACATTCATTACTGAGTGTGCGTGGCTGCTTCTTGGCCCACCTTCCTCATGCCCACAAGGCAGGACAGAGGCAAAAAGCCAGGGTACACTTTGTATGCCATTCACACAGCCAGGCACTTTGCTATCCGTCATCTTTGCACAGGTCCAGAGAAGGTGTGTGCCTACCTCTGCTGGAGGGCTCAAGCTGCAGGTTTGCCTCTCAGCATCCAAGCCTTCTTGCAAGTATATTTCTCAAAGACGTGTGCTTCCATGTGATTCGGCCTTCCCGCCTCTGTCTCTGCTTTGTTTGAGCAATACAAATCACTTAAACTCTACCTGGCTTTTCCTTCCCAGCTTCCCATTCACAGTAGAATTTCATTTCATCCTTCAATTGTGTGCCTTGCCTTAATCTGCAGCTACAGCTTCAAGCTGTTTAGTCCATATATATATATATTGACCTGGAAGTTAGCCAGCTCCAGTCAGGGCTCTGACTTTGGCTTTGTGTTCATAAGCTGCAGTTGGGAGGGATGCAAGAAATTCCCAAACAGAATAAAACAAATGATCTATTTAGTCTCGTTTCGTCTCTTGGATGCGGTCCAGTGCTGAGTGCCATGGAATAAATGTGAATCCCCCCACCCCACCTCCACTGCTCCCCTGTGGACCCACATAAAGTGACCTTGTATTTGAGTAAAAGCTGTCCTCAGCTCCTGGCTGGGTATGGTGTTTTGTCTGGAAGACTGAGGGAGATTATGATAGTAAGATGGCAGTTACCTCTCTTCTATCTACCCTCTGTTTAAAAGATATTAGACCACAAAGCTGCTTGTTACACAACATTACAGATGCAAATCCTGTTTTGTAAGACTGTTCCAACCCAGAGAAAGGAGACCGGTTATAACAGTTCACTTATACAATTACCTTCTGCGGCTCTTGCACCGCTGTTTTGTCCCTGTTGAGCTTATAAAAGACATTTGTCTTTTTATTTCCCTTTAAAGTTGGGTTTCAAGTAAATCCAATTTCCTCTCTCTGTAACTTCTGAAACTGATTAAGCCAGAAAGTCGATTTGTTCTTTCTTATTGTCTACTTTTCACTGACAGCTTTGGAGCACAGGCATTACTAAGTGCTAGGCTAGGTATTACTTTCTGCTTAGATCTCATGAAACACAATAGAATGCACAGGTTTTAAGAATCACATGGCTCCCAACACTTCAAGGAACCTAGCACTTCTTTAATCACAGCTCAAGGGATGCTGCCTGCCTACTTCCATGAGTTTAATCTAGCCACTCAGACCCATCACTGGTCTCTCCTCTCTCTCCTCCCTCTCCACCAGCCGCTCACTCCATCTTTATATACCCGGAGTTACCGGCAGCATTGCTAAACCCAGTAGATTTTTATCATTCCTCACGATCTTCCAGCAGTATTAAATTCTCAGGCCTTGCCTGTCTTTTGCAACTCTTCTAATTCCTTTGCTTTCCTGTACCTTTCTCTCATCATCTTCTTCCCACTGGCGGAACTGCTTGCCCTTGGCTACACCTTTTCTACTCTCCCAGAGTGGGTTGCACAGTGATGAGTATGTAGCCAGCCATTACCCATTCTCCCCATCTCTCCCTTCCAGTGAAGCGTTTCTCCTGTTGCATGTACCATTTTGTTGGGAATAGAACTCAAACTGTCCCTGCTTCCCTTAACTTAGGGGTGGGCGTACAACCGAGTTAACTGGATTCCCTCCCAGTACTTTGAGTCTTCCAAGGATTGGGAAGAGTGGTTAGGGGATTACTCAACCCAGCTTAATGAGATGGGAGTTCTCACCTGGATCTCAGCACTGTCCTTGTCTTTGCCCTTCTGAGTAGAAGCTCCAGAATGTGTGTTTCTGTGAGCTCTTTCTACATTATAGGATCTTTCACTGCCTTACTGGATACCTGTGAGTTGGTTAGTTCTG